TTGGTAGCTCAGTCGGTTAGAGCGTCTGACTGAAGATCAGAAGGTCGGCAGTTCGATTCTGCCCTAAACCACCAGTAAAAATAATAAATAAAATTAAGGTATATGGTAATAGCACGAAAGACAAAAGCATCATCAGCATCGATAGTAGGAAAAGCCAAATTGGCTGAAAGAGTTCATAACAGTAAGGGTCGAAGACTTTCATTAAGTAAATCACAAATTGAAGCCACGATTAGCGAAACATTAGAGGAAATCAAAAAAGCTCTTCTTAAAGGAGAGTCGATTCGTTTCCCGGGATATTTTTCTTTACAGACGGTATTACAGAAGCCTCGCGTGGCCATGAATCTCCAAACTAAGAAAAAAATGAGTATTCCGGCTAAAAGAGTTCCTAAAGCGAAGTTCTCGGTTGATTTAAAAAAAGAGATTAGTAAGAGGAAAGCAGATAAGGTTTTCGCCTAATAAAAATGATAATCACAATAAGAGCGGAAAGTAAAATTTCCGCTACTGCGAATATAGCTCAATGGTAGAGCCGTAGCCTTCCAAGCTATTGATGGGGGTTCGATTCCCCTTATTCGCTCCAACAAAATATTAAATTAAAGTAAGTAAGTATATAAAATTATAAATATGAGTAAAGAATACAAAATAAAGTTTCATAAAAAAGGATTAAATTTAAAAGACGGCACTGATAAGTATGAAGTACGTACAAAAAATGGCGAAGCACAAACGGTGAAATTTGATGACAAGGTTAAGGATGGTGGAACAGCCGAAGGGCAAGTGGAATTAGAATATAAAAAAGAGAGCGAAAGTAATTGAACGACATGGACAGTAGAAAAAGAAAATGTCAAATATGCACAAACTACTTTTTTTAAAGGGGTAAAGATAACAAAAAAACAAATGGGGACTTTAGAATTGAAAGAGGAGTTGCCACAAGCAAGTGTTGGTTTTTTCGCGTCAAAAAGATGACCATTTTGGACAATAGCGGGTGGTATTGTTGTCGGATTACTTCTACTTATCTGATGATGAATTGCTTCCAGACGCAAAGAAGACAAAGAGGAAGAAAGTTTATAAGACGAGGAGTAGCAATTACTCCTCTTTTTGACTATGTTCGTTAAATTAGTCAAGGAAGTAGATTTGGATACTTTTCTCCAAAAAAATCACGACAAATTGGTGTTAGTGAAATTTTCGACGGCTTGGTGTCCGCCCTGCCAGGTGCTACAAAAAAATATTGGGGAATTATTGGCGGAATTGGAAAAATCAGCCGCACCAAAAAAAGAATTATTGGTGCTAGAAGTTGATGCGGAAAAATTCCCCCAGTTAGCCCAAAGAACACAATTTCGTGTCTCCTCCGTGCCAACTATTTTTCTTTTCCACCAAGGCAGAATGATTAAAAAGGGGTCAGGGAGTTTGAGCGTCCAACAATTACGAGAGTTTTTAGATGTTTAAGTAGGGCCCGTTGGTAAAGTGATTAATACGTCTCCCTTTCACGGAGAAGATCGCGGGTTTGAATCCCGCACGGGTCACCAGATTGGCGGTCAGTTATCAGTAATTTTTGTAGAGACACGGCGACGAATAGTAATTGTCTTTTGAAAGTGAAGAGGCGTAGTTCAATGGTAGAACATCGGCCTTCAGATCCGAGAATGTGGGTTCAATTCCTGTCGCCTCTGCCAGGTTTGTCAGCCCACATCGCGCAATTGGTAGACGCAGCGGGCTTAAGATCCGTCCAGTGTGGGTTCGAGTCCCACTGTGGGCACCATTAGAGGTTCTGTGGTGGAGTGATTAACACGCCTCCCTGTCACGGAGGAGATCGCGAGTTTGATTCTCGTCAGAACCGCCATAAATTAAATTAATGATAAAAATCAAAGTTTTGGACAAAAATAATAAGGAATTATCTTTTCTTATTTTCAAAAAAGCCTCCTCTTTTGCTCTCCGAACTTACAGAAAAAATATGTATTTTCAGAAAAAGAAAAATAAATAGATAGGAATGTTTTATCTTATAAGATTAAAAGCAAATAAAATGCTTTGCCGTAGGTCAAAAGTAAATAGAATATTTTATCTGATAAGAATAAAATATTTTGCTTGACTGACAAACTAATTTTAAGATATGAAAAAAATTAAAGGGTTTATTTATCAATACATTGGCGCAGCAGAAGGTAAAGTTAATTTCGACACCACTCCGAAATCGAGTTTAGACTTGAAAATCTTGGATAACAACAATAAGGAAGTAAAAGAGTATGACTATATTCTACCCACTGATAGCAAAGCAATAATTATTTTGAAATTTCAATGAGAAAAAGAATTTGAGGAAGTCAAAGCCAGCGAAATTAAATATCTTTTACCCAAATCAAATGCCTGAGAAATAAATAACGAATCCATCCAAATAAAGAACAAGTTCTTGTTTGTCCAAGAAATAAAAAAAATCCACAAAAAATTGTTGAAAGAAAATCAGCGCGATTTATTTTCAATCGACGAAAGAAAATCTCTTCCTGGTTCTGACAACATTCTCTATAATATAACCGAGACCGAAGGGAAAATTCAATTGAATTTTTACAAAAAAGATGCCACTACCACTTCTTCCAAGGTTTTGCTCGAGGATCAAATTAAGATTGAACCAAAATATTATGTGACTAGTGAAATTGCTTTTTCTGAAGGAGGCGACTTAACAGAGGAAGAAAATAGTAAACCTAAATTAACTGCAGGCTGAATTATTTTTATTACTATTTTAGCGGCGGCTCTGCTCTTAATCATTATTTTCCGAAAAAAGATTTTAAAATGAATAAGAGGTGAACGAGCCCAAGAAAAAAAAGTTAAAGAGCAGTTAGATATTTTTTAAAGTTACAAATAATAATATAGTGTGAAAAATAGATATATTATGCTTAACCATAAAAAAAGTTAACCATAGTAAAGGCTATATGCCGAGAGGTCAGGCATCCTCTGACCTGCCTAATTAACATTTAATTTGAGAATTGTAATAAATAACATTAGATTAAAAATAAATAAGAAATACAAAGTTCTAAAAGAACGAGTATTGTCAAGACTAATATTTTCAAAAAGATATGAAAAAAAAAATTCATTTACCACTTCATCAAATAATTATTACTTGCTCCTATTGTAATCAGCAGTATCAAACGGTTTCTACTTCCAACCAAAATATTTCGAGTAGTAGTTGTAGCAATTGTAATCCTTTTTACACCGGCACCTTGGCTAGCGAAATAAATGTCGGGGCGGTGGAAAAGTATCGACAGCGAGAACAAAAAATTAAGGCGAAAAGGGATATTAAGTAAAAATATTAATATGCTAAAAAAAGAAAAATCTACGGGGATATTTTCAAATATACGGAGGCACGAAAAAAAAATCTTTTATTTTTTGTTGTTTTCCCATGTTTATTGCCTAATTTCAGGTTGGTTTAATGGGGGGGATAAGATTAACTTTCCGGGTCAATATTTTTGACACTTTTTGGCCTGGTGGTGTACTTGAAACAGCATTTTAACCCTCGGTTTTATCTTGTGAAAATTGATAAGACGACCCAAGAACAACACTTATTCTTACCAAATCTTTTCTCTGATAGTGAAGATTAGTAATATAATGACTATGCTAATTTATGGTCTGGGCTTAATTATCTGATTAATTACCGGCTTGACTACTTATTGAGGAATTACGAGCCGAACAACCAAATTAGTCCCTATCCCGAACCATAGAATTGGCGAAATGCAAACCAGCAAAGTAATTCAGTGATGGCTCTATTCGCCACTTTGACACTTTATTGCCCCAGCCTATTTTTTGGTCTGATTTTTCCACCACGAGCGAACAGACCTGCTGAAAAAGAGATTAAAATTAACGATTTTGCTTTGCTTCACCCAACCTGTTCTCTATTTTGTTTATGGCTACTTTCGCAGTAAATTGGGTGACAAAGAGTATTTTAAAAAATTTAATGCTCGGTGAACCTTACCTTTTTTAAGTTCCAGAAAAATGAGCGAAAAATTAGGAATTGACAACAATTATCGTTTCGTTTGAAAAATAATTTTAGTAATTTTCTGATTTGGTGTGTTTAGTCTGCTGGTTTATCTCATTTTACGCTATCGAAAAAATATAAAACGCTATTTGTCAAGCAAAAAACGGGCCTTGACAAGAAAAAAACGAGAAGTTTATGGTTCGAGATTTATTGGCAAGAGAAAGAACGACCGAGGGGGGAGTTCTTGCCAGAGGCCAGAGAGAGAGAGAGAGACGATAAATGAATAATCGCTGCCTAATTGTTCGTTATGGGGAATTATTTTTGAAGGGGAAAAACCGAAATGTTTTTATTCAAAAATTAGTCGCTAATATTATTTTAACTTGGCAAAAAAATGGTTTTTTTAATTTCAAGATTAAAAAACTTCACG